CTTTTGGGTAGTTAAAGGTATGAGCTCCCTCAATTTCTTCTTTACAATTCTGCTTCTCCCACTAATTCTTTATCTAGGACATTGTACTCCCCATTCTCGTCATCTTCATCATCGCCATCTTCCAGGTTCTCAATAAGACTATCATTATCTCGAGGCTTGCAACTCTTCGTCCCACCGATAACATCCTTCCAACCTAAGCCATCTTCCTGGATCGGGACATTGTCCATATCTGTGTCCCTGCAGTCAATTTTTTTCTTTTCTTTTTTCGGAGAAGAACCAGGGTCGAGGACGATGGGCACCCACTGAAGTCCAAGATGGTTCTAGCAAGGTGAAGCCAGGTTTAACAAACCCAGCTAGCCTTAGTCACCTTAGAATTAGTAGCTCTTATTTCCTGTCTATCATTAAAACCAATTTAAAATTTTGGAAGCTTCTGAGCCCTCTATGTTTCCTTTTCATGTGGGCGATACGTTGAGCAAGCACTTTTCTTTTAATTCTTCTGCCAAACGTCAACCCAAGTCTCGGCAAATTTGATTTGGGGTGGACAATTAACGGCATTATGGACAACCATGCATGCCAATGTCCTCTAACACATAAATCACGTTTTCGTATACGACTTTAATACGTTGAGTTATACACAAATCCAACAAGAGTTTGGTCACCCATAGATTAGCTGTGCTGCATACTTGCATTCAAAGGAATCAGTCTTTTTTCGTTTCAGCCTCGCTCTACCTCTGCTGATAGAAAACCTCTGCAACTGAAATTTTCTCCTTGAACATCACCTTAATTAGCGGGTAAGGAAGCAATATTCCTAAACGTCTCCTTCGTTTCAAACTGTTGATGTTTGTCTCATGTAAAACGTCTTGTTTATGCTGTAGACTGTTTCAGGTACGCCAACACAACACTAAACGGCCACCATTGTTTTTTTTTTTTTTTATGTATAGCATCCACTGTTTCTCAATTTCATATCGTTTGACATGGTAAAGTTTCTGCGTTTCATCAGAAACCTGCAGCGGCTGTTTCTGGTCAATATAAAATCCCGATATTTTGAATAGATTTTGATTCCACCCAACCAAGCAGTTGACCATTATGATTCTGATTCTAAATCACTATTATTGTGAATCAAACGGCTTAGGATCAACCAAAATGGACGAGATGATTGGGATTTTTTTGGTTTTTTAGATTCTATTCGACCTATCTCTGTTTGTCCAATGAATTCCGGATGGAAATTTCTATCCTATCCACTGGGTACCCGCCCCTACCCACCCAGATGGGATAGTTTTTTTTTTTCCTGAATGACGGGTTGTAAGATTCTACAACGTTTATGGTTATGGTAGAATACGGTATTAAGCTAAATCCTATCCTTTCCAACCTGTATATTCTTGGAAAGCATATAAATTTTATGTATTAGGTGTTAAATTTAATAACATTTTGAATTTTATGTGAAAGATAATTGATAGCTTGTGTTTTTAAATGTCTTCATCAAATAATTGGAAATATTGTTGTTTGTTTGTATTATTTTACTTATTTATTACTTATCTATAACAAAAAATAATAGAAAATAAATGTAGGTTCTAAACCAAACCCCCACCCTTGTAGGCAGGAAGAGTAGGGTGGGGAGGGTTTTAGTATTTTCATGTGTGGACAGGATTTGGATTCTCAAAATCCAACTACTATGGATTTGTGAGCAGGTACAAATTGGAGATTTAGGGAGATGAATAGATTTGAAATTTACAAAACCCTCCCCAAACCTACCCTGTTTTCAACAAACCCAAACACATATCCATGGTTTTCAAAACCAGACTGGATCGGAAAAACCGGGAACCGGTCAGGCATTTTCCCAAAATACTAGATTTTCCTCCAAAACCGTTGATTTTAGTCAGCAATCCGCTGAATCGGGTGATTAACCATTTGAACAGTTTTGTCCATTTTTTATTTTTTTGAATATTTTAAATTTTTTTCTTGTCAGAACGGTCCGAGCGTTCCATTTGAACACTTGAACCGATAACTGAACCCCTGACCTATTCGGTCACCGAATCGGTTTTAAAAACCATGCACATATCATTAATTTTTGGCTGTATTTGCTTTCCATCCCTATCTTCTCCTCCCTTTTACCGGAAACTAACTACAGCCTTTATGAACCGTACGTGTATAAAATGCCACTCATGTGTTTCCGATTATGGGCCCCATGATACACGGGCAAAGGGCAAACTTTGTTGGTGAAGTGTTAATAATCACTGATATTTATTAATTAATATATACAACATAATTTGTTGGTTGGTTATAAGTTTTATATATCATCCTTTCCGATATCAAAGAAGGATTCTAAATAATAATGCCATAGTGATATGTCAATATTTATAAAGTATTAAAAAATTAAATAATAAAAATTAATAAATAATAATAAGGAAAATTGTGATAAAATAAAAACTAATTCTTTCAGAGATAAAAACAATAAATGTAAAAATAAATTTTCCCACATAGCTAACTGTTTCTTTGTTGTTTCCCTCCATGTTATATTAGAGTACCATTGTAATAAACCAAATTATAAGTTATGGTGAACTAGTAAATAATAAAACATAAAAATTATGAGAGATAACAAACAATTCTTTTATTGATAATAAATAATATGATAAATTACAGATATGTATTTTACACTTTGGGTGTAGTGACAGGTAGGTACCTTTCAAATATGACACTTTAGTATCCCAAGCTTCTAGAAATAGACAAATATCCAAATACCTATATACATATATATAACCTTCCTCCTAGTTATTTAAGTTATTTACTCACCTAGGAGATGGGTATCACTACCTTGGCAAGTGATACCCAGGAAAATAAACTTTTCTTGGTCCCCACATTAATCTGAAAAATGAACATGGTATTCTTGGTCAATGGGAACCGAAATCCCATTGACCAACTTTCCCCCTCAAAATCCAAAAAATAAAATGCCCCCTTAGAAGGATAGTCTTGAGATCTTGGAATATTTAAAGTCATATATGACATCACATGTTGCAGATAACTAATAGAATACTAATGGAATGTCTATTTATGGGAGTTCAAGATCACTACCCTCAGCATTCGGTAACTACTTGTAATTTACCCTAAATAGGTTAAAAGAAATAGAAGTAGCTATTTAACTAATCTTTTCTTATTGCATAATTGTTTTTTCCCTCCGTGATAGAATTAGTTATTTAAATTTGAAGCTTTGCATTTAAGTCAAAATAATGGGATTCGACTTTTATATGGAAAATATATGATATTCTAAAAGCATCTAACCAATCAACTAAAATCAGACTTGGTAGTGAATAAGGTGTTATTTATCAAAATTCATGGGTGGGCTTTGATTGGTCAAAACTCTTTTCATACCATATCTTTTCTATATCATAGGTTTTCCATAATGACTATTTACTTGGTTCTATTGTACTACATGATGATTATACTAATTAAGGTATCAGTATATTTCTATGATACATTTATTAATTTATTATAATTCATTTATTATTTTCTAGTATTATTATATTCAAGGTTTGAAATTTCGATACATATCAAACCATATCAGCTGATACATATCGTATTGGGGGCTTCTCAATACGCTCCTACAAGGGCATTTTGGGGTTTAACTCGATTTAGGGGGTAGATAGGCCTTAAACCGACCCCTTTGAACCAGGTTTAAAAAACTAAAAAAAAGCATTTTATTCTTCGGACATCCATTGATGTCTCACATCTTCCCGACATTGTCTCATATAACCGCCAACTGTTCATCTTTCCCCAGAATTTTTGTGTGTATACGCAAACACCACTTTTGTTTCTGCTACAATATTGTGTTCAAATCTCCTAACCACAAGAATTCTGCCCATCTCATGTCTATCTATATAACATCACAACCACACATGAGAAACATCTCATCCTCTTAGTATTATGCATGGGGAGATGTTTCTAATGCACGAAGTTAGTGTGTTGTGGGTAGACCCTAGACGTGGACAGAGTTCTTAGGGGCAGGAGATCGGGAGTCCAATATTTCTGGGTCCTCGAGATTCACTTCTCCTAAAAGAGTAAAGGTATAGGGATATGCTACCAATGAAACACTCCGAGAACTGCCTCACTGTGTATTGAGAATATTTCTTCAGGATGTAGTTTATAGGGGGGAGAGGGCTAATAGTAGGGGGATGGAATTCAGAATTTTGCATTGAGTGTATCCATACTTCTCTGTAAATAATAAATATAAGGAAGATGTTTTTGATGTGCGGCCATGACATAGTGTGAGATCAGTGTAAAAAGCGCTATGAGACGAGCAGATCGACTCGTTATTGATGGGAGATGTTCCCGATGTACAGTTACAGTCGCCTGTTGTGATAATGTGGGGAGCATTTTATTAATAGCAGATATGAACATTTCTCCTGCTGTCATTTCAGTTATCCTTAATTTTTCCTTTTCCCGTGTTCCTCTCTTTTGCAGCAACGATAGCTTTGTCCTTTGCAAAACTTTCACTCAGTGTTCTCCTATCGCGACTGCTCTACACCATCGCTCAGTTTCCTTACAGTCCCAACGTATTATATAACTGCTTGCACCATTTCCTTTTTGGTATTCTTCTTGCACCAAGAATTTGTTTCTATTTTGTTGATTTTGTGATTTTGAATTGCATTAATTATTTGTTCTCCTACTTTCCCTTTTATTTCTTCACATTTACAGCTCTAGTTATATGTTTTATTTCTTGACATTTACGGCTTTAGTTATATGTTTTATTTCTTGACACTTGCTTTAATGAGTTTCTTTAGCTAGTGTTTGCTAAAAAAAGATTTTAAATGGCTGCTCTTCCTACAAGTCTCGCAATGAAAACAAATTAAAATCAAGGTTAATTAAGTGAAGCCAACTCACTAGATTACACAAGCAGGAGACATTTGGCGTACTGTTTCTAACTAATGGAAATGAAAAGAAGAAAGGGAGACAAAGAAGAGGAGAGCAAGAGATGCTGCCTGTTGCAACTCCCACTTGCACAGTCAATGGCGTCGAGCTTCAACCTGGAGAAGGCAGTTTGCAACCATGGTTTTTTTATGATGGCACCCAATTTGTGGATTCCATCAACCAAGACCTTGCAGCGCCCACTGCGCTTGGCTGACTCCATCACTTCGGTCACTGTTCGCATCTCACACCCTCCTAAACACCATTCTATCCATGTCCTCGTTCTTGACACCAAAGCCCTCTCGTCCCCAGACCAACAAGCTTTGCTGGTATGCTTACACTTTCTTATAATTAAGTTTCTATTACTGTTTATGATCACCCATTTAATTACTCTGTCCATCATGTAACTGATGTTTTAACTTATTGGTTTTTTAATGCAGCGTCAAGTTGCTCGAATGTTACGAATATCAGAGGAAGATGAAAGGAAGATAAGTGAGTTCCACAAGATACATAGTAAGGCCAAAAAGAGGGGATTTGGTCGCCTTTTTAGATCACCATCTCTATTCGAGGACATAATTAAGTCTATCCTCCTCTGCAATTGCTAGTGAGTTTTTAAATTTTAATTATAGTTTTACATTTATAGATATTGCACTTGCACAAGGATGAAGGACCTCAAGGAACTCATTCTCCAAACTTCACAAAATATGGGTGAGTCATCTAGATGGCTTCCCTAAGCGACCAGACTAGGAGGTTAATCATATATGTCTTAATTATTTATATTAATTTGCTCCTCTAGTTGGCAGAGATCTCTGCAAATGGCAACAGCTTTGTGTGAGCTTCAATTAGAATTGAAGGGAGGCTCAGTTGATAAAAATGCAGAACATGCCTCAATGACACAAAGGATTGGACTGAAGAGAAAGCAAGCTACAAATGCTGTAAATGTTGTCAACACCACCATAGGAGATTTTCCAAGCTCAAAGGAGCTGGCCAGCCTCAACGATAACTTTCTGAATGATCGTTTGAAACTTGGCTATAGAGCAAGGCAAATCTTAAAGCTTGCCCAAGGAGTTGAAGCAGGAATAATTAGACTGGAAAAGCTTGAAGGAGAAGAGGAAGAAGCAGTCTATAAAAAGTTAATGCGTATTGAAGGGATTGGATCTTTTACCTGTGCCACTATTCTTATGTCCATCGGCTTTTATGACAAGATTCCAGCTGATACTGAGACGGTTAGTCATTTCCAAGAGGTTTGTTCCTTTCTCTTTTCTTTCTACAGGAAAATCTGTAATGTTGAGAGAGAGAGAGATGCATGGGTTAAAAAGCATCTGGACATGCTGATTTTTGGTTTAAGGGCTCTTTGACCTGGTTGTGTGCGACCCCTTCTAAAATGAACCACATGTCTCGTTATATCAAAGCCCAACAAGCTAATGATTCTAACTCTAGTTGCACCAGTCAATTGCAGTTGGTTCTGATTTGAATAAATCTTTTAGTTTGCCTCTCATAGCATTAAAATGTTTTTTCCCTTTTCTTTTTCTCTTGTTCCCTTTATTTTTCCTAATTTATTCCACTAATTAAAATTAGTTATGACACTCCTTGAAAATACTTATTGTGCAGCTGCATGGAAGAAAAGACTGCACCATAAAAACAGTTAATAAATATGCAAAAGAAATATATGGGAAGTTCTCGCCATTCCAATGCTTGGCATATTGGTAATTCACTGTTCTAATGCATATCCTCAGTGATAGCATCCAGCTTAAATTATCTTTCAATGATTTAAGGCTGTTTCTGTTCTATCTGACATGAATTGTTATTTGCTTTTTCTTTGTACAAGGTTCGAGCTGTTGCAGGTCTATGAAAAGAAAGTTGGGAAGTTGAGCAAATTGCCCCCTTCAAGTTATTACAAGGTCAATTGTAGCATTGGTACCTCTGCTTGCGGATCAACATGGTGATATGAAAGTACTTTTTGTTGTAAAGGAACAATGAGACATGATTCTAAGTATTAAATGACATAGATGGCCACCTCATTCTCATCAGTATTGACAAGAAATGACCATTGTCACACCTTCCTTATTAGTTGCCTAACCAAGTCTAGTTTATTCATTTCCCATCTTGTTGTTTAGCGAAGCTTTTTGGTAGGGTTTTCAAGAATAAACAGTTTGTGTTAAGCAGGTCATTCTGCATGGAAATGGAAGATTATAAATAGGGATGTCAATTGCTCTGATTTAGCAAAGCTTTGGTTCAACCCGAACCCAAGCTGACTAAAGGATATATGTATTGAATCCGACCCAACTCATTACATATATAGACTCAACAAAGTCTAAATATTAAGAGGCTGGTTTGGTTCAGCATTGATCCACCTCAACTTAATTCCGATTAAGGCTAAAAGAAGCCAAATTTGATAGGGTTGTATCAATGTGGGTGTGAGCTCCAAGAAGCTCATGGCTGGCTCAAAGAATGGGTTTATTAAGCTGAACTTCATTGGTCCAGGTGTTTGAACTGGTCAAGAATGGGTTTGGCATTAACCATCACCCTTTTGAGGTTTCAAGTTGGAATATATGAGGTGGTAATTCAATATGGCATGTGGAAATGACATCTACCTAGTTTAACGGTTAATGGGTGAATTAGGTCGTAAAATTTGATGTATTGGGTTTTTTTTTTGTCTTTGAACATAGTGGTGAGGTCTAATTGGCCAAATAAGGTCAGGATGATCGAGATCTATGATTGACAAGTTTGAACCAATGAGATTTACTAAAATAGAATCTTTGCTTAATGATGGGTCAAATGGAGGATTTTTTGGCTGAAATTTAGTAGGTAGGCACGGATTAAGGGGATGAGTCAAGTGGACGATTCTTATTCAAGAAAGAAATGGTTAAGCATGGTTTTCTACTTTTAGTTGTGTAGGGTCATCATAATGGAATCTTAGCACTTTTGAGGTTGATCGTTGTATACTTGTGGTGGGATTATCTAGTTGATTGTATCTTAGTGATCTTGAGGCGATGGATGCATTGGATCAGGGCCAGCGTTAGAAAGGAAGTTGGTGTGATGAACAGTGGATGTGTGACTAATTTATAGTTTCCTAAATCTATGAGCCATATCTGATTGGGTGTCGATGTTGATCTCAAGGTTTTCATTTACCCATTGATTATGTCAAAAGAGAGAATTTTGGATTTGGAAAGTCTTAATTTAATTTGGTTGTGTTTCATAGTTTTGGGGTTTAAAAGTAGGGTACAGAGAGGTAGGAAGAAAGGACTGAGCAAAAATTGGGTGCTAACATTGGGTTTACCACTTAAGTTGACTAACTGATTTCCCTAATGTAATCACATAAGTGGTAGTTCAATTTAATCTACAAAACCTATGGCATGAGCTTGGGCAAATCGACCGTTAGTGTAGATCTTGTTAATAGTAATAAATATTCATATGAGAACTTTGAAGGTCGAAGAAGGGAAATGTTTCATGTCAATGACACTTGCACGTGGGTTTGTTGATCCTAAGAGACAGGGGAAGCCCATTAGAAAGCATGATAAGTGGAAGTTTTAAAAGGGAATCAGGTTAAAATTCCTGAACTAGGATGTGGTGGTTGACGGTAATGTTAGGGAGTCTAGAGACGTCAGAGGGGGCCTCGGAAAAAGTTATCTTTTTTGTTTAATGGCCTGTCCACCTTGGAATCAGCTCAATCAGAGGTAGGGGTCTAGTGGCTGGAAGATCCCCTATGTGCATGTGCATGCATGTGCGCACACCGTGGCCCAACATGCGTGTGCACACATGGCCGACTGCACATGGTGTCCCTGTGTGTGTGTGCACCCATGACCAACTGCTCTTGTACCCCTATGTGTGTGCACATGCATGTGGTCGACTGCACACGTTACTCGTGTCTACGTGTGCACGCATGGCCGACTGCATGGAATGCCCTTGTGCCATGTCATGGTGTGTGTGCGTGCACGCGGCCGATTGCATGGGGTGCCCTTGTGTCGTATCATGGTACAAGTGGGTATGCATGGCTAACTACACATGGTGCCCCCATGGGTGTCATGGTGCAAGTGGGTGTGCATCACTGATTTCATGTGGTGCCCCATGTCATGTGTTGTGGTGTAAGGGACATGAACAACTGACTACATGTGGTGCCCATGTGGTGTGCCATGGTGCACGTGGGTGTGCATGACTAACCACATATGGTGCCCCATGCTATGAACAACCTACTACACATGACACCCCATGTTTTGTGTCATTGTGCACTGGATGTTCAACTTACATCATTTCAATTTGCACCTTCCAACACTTAGCCACCATCATCTAAGAACTTTTTAATTTTACATTTATCTTATGATAGTTATAGGCTTATCTTTAGCTTACTAATCTTTCCAAAGTTGATTCTTACATAGATTTTTAAAGTTATGCTTTGAATATGTTAATTAGTTATTCTCTTTAATCATTTCTAGTCGTTTCTCTTGATAGACAAAATAATTGCTTTGCTTTTTTTAGCCCAAAAATTATAAAATCTTCCTTGAAACATTGGTAAAGTAGAGGCCAGTTCAACTGGGCATGTATGGGGTGCCTAACACCTTCCCACATTGTACCTTGGTCCCTAGACCCTAAGAATCTCATCCCCATTGTGAAACAAGTCACCAAGAAAACAAATTGTTTTTCTTGAAAAACCCTGGGTTTTCCTAAATTTCCATTTCCCAAAATTTTAGTTGTTGACTCTATCCAATTCCATTCCATATTTCATTCTCCCTTTGAGTTGGGTAGCCACACGTGGTTGTGCATTGCATTTTGTACAAGTTTATTGTCTGTACTCTTGGATGTAGAATATGCCAAGGGTAGGGGGCCTTTGGTCCTCTATTGCCACCCTAATACATGTCACGGTACATGATAGATAGTCGCAACCGCTTCGAGTGTATGATGTTTCGGGTGGGTCTCATGTGAGTTGTGTTGTCGACAAGGAATGCTACTTGGTTGATCCTGCCAGTAGTCATATGCTTGTCTCAAAGATTAAGCCATGCATGTGTAAGTATGAACTATTTTAGATTGTCAAACTGTGAATGGCTCATTAAATCATTTATAGTTTGTTTAATGGTATCTACTACTTGGATAACTGTAGTAATTCTAGATATAATATGTGGACCAAACCCCGACTTCTGGAAGGGATGATTCATTGGCCCAAAGGTCGATGTGGGCTTTGCCGATTGCTCTGGTGAATCATGATAACTCGACGGATTGCACGACCGTTGTACTTATAGCTACCTGACCCGGAGGGAGATGGAATGGAATGAATGGATGGAATCCACCTAAACATTTGGGAATTGTGAATTTAGGAAAATCTGAGATTTTTGAAGAAAAACAAAAGTTTTCTTGGTGACTCGTTGGCCCAATGGGGATGGGATTCTTAAGGTTTAGGGATCAAGGTACGATGTGGGAAGGTGTTAGGCACCTCACATGCACCCGGTTAAACCGGCCTCTACTTCACCAATGTTCCAAGAAAGAAAATACTTTTTGGGCTTAAAAGAATAGCTCATACACATTAAAAATTCATCCACATGCAACATGACAATACTAGAGAAAAGAAAGTAATAAAAATCAATTATTTAACTAAAATGATCAAAACAAGTACTAAACTGCTTGAAAAAGGACGACTAAGATAACAAAAGATTAATTAAGAGAACATGATAATGACTTGATAACTATTGAAATAACTACACTAAGGCTATGTTTGGTTTGAAGGAAAAGCTAGGGAAAGGAAGGGAAAGATAGGGTAACCTATACAAGGTTTGTAAAGGTTTCCTTACCTTTTCTTCCTTTCCCTACTTTTTCCTTCAAACCAAATATAGCCTAATGCTGGAATCATGAGAAACAAGACAAAAAGAAGTAAATATGCAAATAATCCAAAGCATGTGCCTAAGTATGAAAACTGCATGCATGAATGTTGTTTATAGATGGAAGAATTTGGAATGGACTGACTTGTGAAACTATCTTGATGGTAAATTTTTAATATATGGAATGGACAGTGATGGCATCTAATAAAGCTACCATGTAGCCAACTAACAGGAATGGAAAATGTTTATATAAAAAATATGAACAGAAGTATGCAAATCTAAAAGAGCAAATTAGTTGTTTATGTTAAGGAAGAGGTAAGAAATTAAATGACGTTAAAAAATAAAATGGAACATTCTAATTACGTAAGAAAAGTATCTAATTGATCTAAGAGATTGATGAGATGGAGGGAGTGCGACTCATGCAATAGTGGTGGGGATTTAGTCTAAATAAAAAGGGCATGTCACATGGCATATCAAAAGGTACTAACACGCTAACTTACCTTAAGTATGTCCCTATTTAATAACATTAAACATGCAACAATGATGATAAGGAGCTAAAATGGTCAATGATCGAATTGTAATTATCAAACTACCCACATATTAATCAAATCAATGAACATCAATGAGGATGTGTATCAAAAGGTTGACATGCCTAATGCCTTTGTACTAGAAGAAACTAAATGGAGAAATTATTCTCATGACACTATCAGGATAGAAATTGATTGACTTAATTATGCATAAAGAAAAAAACAACTAGCAAGAAAAGAAAACCGATTTTTTTCAAATTAAAATTGTATTACTTAAAACAAGCAATGTTCGCCCTTAGACAACCAATAAGATAATCTTACTTGGTTAGTTAAAAAAAAAAGAAATTAAAAAAATTAACAGCAAACATGTTGGTAGGAATGCTAAGGGGTGTACCTTGTGGGAAACTTTAACTTGTTGAAATTGCCTTGCTCTCTACCGATGCACTCTCCTATGACAACGTGCATATGTTCAACACTTTCTACTTAGAGACCTCTATAGAATGAGTTCTTGATCACTCATAGGCTATTCTTGTGTTTGATATGTAGCCCAAGTATTTGGAAATGTGTCAAATGGACTGTAAATTTCTGTTGCACCATTGTTGCTTCAAGAAT